CTGGAGCTGACGCCCTGAATTTGGACTTGTAGCCTACCGGACTGTGAGAGAATAAACTTCTCTTTGTTAAAGCCATCCACTTGTGGTATTTCTGTTGGAGCAGCACTAGGTGACTAAGACAGATGGTTATTGAAATAATCCACAGAGGATATAAAAGTGTGATTGTTCCCAAGGAGCAACTTGGAGTGTGGATCAGCACTGGAGTCAATAAAGCAAGCTAAAAGCCATTGAGAGTATACTCCCACTAAAATTAGCTCAGTTACTGAGAAAAGCCTTTTCCATTCCCCACTCCCCTTGGCACCTATACTCAGGATTCCTAAATTTCCCAGTGGGCCTGCTCCTTATCAACCCACAGCAAAAGAAAAGGGAACAAGAAGGTTTCCATGCTGATAAGGAAGGAAAAATAACTTATTAAGATCTTCACATTTCATTTGTTCTTGAAATACTCAGATTTTTATCTGAGCAACTGCTCAGTTAATGTTTCTAGATTAAGAGAAAGAGCCGAGAAGGGTAAATAGATAAACAGAAGCCAAGGAATTACATGAAATAGGACCGAGCACTGGAGACGGAGAGAGAGTGATGATGATGATAATGGTGATGACGGCAGTGGTGGTAGCTGCTAGCAAGATAAATAGGTAATGTAAATTTTTTTTTATAAAAAATACATTTCATAGAGAAAATATATTCTCTATGAAAAAACACTTACATCTAATATTAGATAAAAAATGTTAGTATAGTGAAACAACTGCTGAAAACATTTTAAAAAATATATTTGGATCTTTTCTGGATAAACTGAGTGGATAATAAGCATACACACCCAAATGGCACTACACCTTGAATGACTCTCACAGTCTTTCAGTTCAATAGGCAACAAAACAAAAGGCTGTTTTACATACATCTTTGAATTCTATTTCTGGACTTCTTTTAAGAGACTTTCCCCCTCAAAAATATATAGACAACTTTATCACAACATTATCTGTATTAACTTTTATTTTAAATTCAATGAAAAACTCTTGTATTAGAGAGTAAAAATCTTCATGTATTCATAATTATTTCAAGTAAACACAAGGTAAATAGTCTATTGTCTATGAGGGGGAGCCCACTCCATGGCAACTAACAACAACTATTTTGAGGTTGTGATAACTTGAACCAACAGTTAGCAAACTAAGGTGAAAACTCCGTGAAGACAGAGGAAAATGGACGATATTACCTGCAAATATTATCAACAGTCAAAGAAGACAGTATTCAAAAAGGGCCCCAGCAGAGACAATGTAGAGAAAGGCTTCAAATCCAAATGAAACCACAAATATAGCATTTCCTTCTACTTCCAATTTGGCCAGAGGGATTTGGCCATTCCTATCCAGTCTAACCACTGACGCAAACTAAAAAAGCTAAACATAAAACCAATTATATAACCATAGTGGTGTGCAATGGAATATTAATAAACTTAATAAATTGATATAATG